TAGTGTAGTTCTGGAGTATCCCACTCAATTCTCCATCCCCATTTAAGTTACCCAAAAATAAAAACACCAAATACCCCTAGACTGTTCATTGAGCCAGAGAGTGACTGTGACCGTGTGCCTGGCTGTGGGACAACTGCTGGGAAAAGAACACTAAGCATCGTTCTAGCTGCTCTCTGCTTTCAGCTAGGGAACAAACATCATTTCCTTTAAGGATAATGCTCAAGGCATGTGGGGGAACTTTTATTTTTTCGGGCTCAAAAGCCCCACACCGAGAGCTACCAGACTGGCTTGTTGTTTTCAAAAGCCAATGTACCACATTCCCCTGATATTTTTTATATATCTTTGTGACTTTATTTGGATTTTTTTTTCGCATTAATAATTTTTTATAGTTTTTATATTCCCCTGACTGCCTATTAAGATTACTTTTTAAATGTTTCCCTGAAAGCAATTTTTTTTGTAACATGTCTACGGCCACCCATTTTCACAAAGATATGGAGGTTGGTTCTCCCTCTAGTGGCCATCGGTATATCTGACTGGTGCAGGTAACACTGTTGCTGTTTATGACAAAAAAAAAAAAAATCCCAATTCTGGGCTAATTTGTTTTTCCAAAAAAGTGCCCCACCACAATTGTGAATGACAAAAACATTGCTCAGGCTGCAATAACACCTCCTTTGCGGTACTGTCCCCTGCAGTACCTCTTCTCCATCACAAGATGTCCTCAGTCTTCCAAGTTGAGTTGGTCCCTGTGTTATACAGACCAGAAGACTGAGTACATAAGGTGAGTTCAGAGCATCATAGATCCACCCCTGTGTATGGGGAGGGTTGGTGTCAATACAACCTCCTGCACTCGTAGCACAAACAGAAAGAAAGACCCCCTGCATCATGTGACTGGCCTGAAGACTTCTGAAAATGGTAAGTATAAGCATAGACGTTCTCCGCTGATCATCTCAGCACACAGACGGCCAGTGTATGAAGGAGTGATGTCAGCCCTTCACTGGCGATCTGTTGGAAAATTCTCCCTCCAGATTCTCCAGCCCAGAGGTGGAGAATCGGGGAGACCAGTGGTAATTTACTGCTGCTTAGTAAACGGTGTTTGACTGATCTCGTGAAATTACAGTAACAGCAGCCGTTCTAGCGTTCTAAGCATTTGTAGATCGCTCCTCTGCTCATTAGGAGCAGCAATCTACACCGCTTCATGAACAGTCATTCAGAGAACTGTCTCTGAGAATGCCAAAGAACTGAGCTGCTCCATGATTATTATTATTATTATTATACAGGATTTATATAGCACCAACAGTTTGCTCAGTGCGTTACAATATAACGGGAGACAATACAGCAACAATACAGTTCAATACAAGAGGAATAGGAGGGCCTGATCTTTGGAGCTCACAATCTAGGAGGGAGGGGCTAGTGGTACAAAAGGTAGTAACTGTGGGGAATGGACTGGTAGGAAGAGTAGAAGATTCCATTATTAGCTAAGGGTAGGATAGGCTTCCCTGAAGAGAGAGGTTTTCAGAGTTCGCCTAAAAGTGAGCAGAGTAGGCGATACTCTGATACATTGGGGTAGAGAGTTCCAGAGGATGGGGGAAGCTCTGGAGAAGTCCTGGAGACGAGCATGGGAGGAGGAGACAAGGGACCTAGAGAGCAGGAGGCTGTGCGAGGAGTGGAGAGTATGGTTTGGGTGATATTTGGAGACAAGATTGGTGATGTAATTTGGGGCAGAGTTATAAACGGCTTTATATGTTATTGTTAATGTTTTGAATTGTATTCGTTGGGCAATGGGAAGCCAGTGGAGGGATTGGCAGAGAGGGATGGAGGACACTGAGTGAGGCCAGTGGAGGGATTGGCAGAGAGGGATGGAGGACACTGAGTGAGGCCAGTGGAGGGATTGGCAGAGAGGGATGGAGGACACTGAGTGAGGCCAGTGGAGGGATTGGCAGAGAGGGATGGAGGACAATGAATGGGAGCCAGTGGAGGGATTGGCAGAGAGGGATGGAGGACACTGAGTGAGGCCAGTGGAGGGATTGGCAGAGAGGGATGGAGGACACTGATGTGAAGCCAGTGGAGGGATTGTGGCAGAGAGGGATGGAGGACACTGAGTGAGGCCAGTGGAGGGATTGGCAGAGAAGGGATGGAGGACACTGAATGGAAGCCAGTGGAGGGATTGGCAGAGAGGGATGGAGGACACTGAGTGAGGCCAGTGGAGGGATTGGCAGAGAGGGATGGAGGACACTGAATGGAAGCCAGTGGAGGGATTGGCAGAGAGGGATGGAGGACACTGAATGGAGGCCAGTGGACGGATTAGCAGCAGAGGGATGGAGGACACTGAGTGGAAGCCAGTGGAGGGATTAGCAGAGAGGGATGGAGGACACTGAATGAGGCCAGTGGAGGGATTAGCAGAGAGGGATGGAGGACACTGAATGGAGGCCAGTGGAGGGATTGGCAGAGAGGGATGGAGGACACTGAATGGAGGCCAGTGGAGGGATTAGCAGAGAGGGATGGAGGACACTGAATGGAGGCCAGTGGAGGGATTAGCAGAGAGGGATGGAGGACACTGAATGGAGGCCAGTGGAGGGATTAGCAGAGAGGGATGGCTGATACAGAACGGTTAGTAAGGTGGATGAGTCTGGCAGCAGCATTCATGATAGACTGAAGAGGGGATAGCCTGCGATGAGGTCGGCCAATGAGGAGGGAGTTATAATAGTCAAGGCGAGAGATAACAAGGGAGTGAATAAGTTGCTTAGTAGTTTCCGAGGTTAAGAACGGGCGTATCTTGGAGATGTATAAAAGGACATCCAAGTCAGAACCGCACCAATATGACAGCTGTAATTGCGGACAATAGGGTGCGACTTATCATGCGATTTGCAAGTCGCATGGCATGCAAATCACATGGCAAGTCGCAACCGGGGTCTTAAATGTTCAGCTATTTGGACAAACTTTAGAGGTCTACTTTAGGTTTGGGTGTACAGTAATTCAATAGAGTAGAGAAAATCGACTTCAACAGAACGGGAATTTTGCCTTTCGGCGCCTCTTGTAAATTCTGTTGCCGTGTTTATAAAACAAAAATCCACAAAAACACATTCCCGCCTTCCTCCAGTGCGGCTCGATAGATTCTACCGTTCCATGCAGAGTGTAATTTCACTAACAAAACAAGTGAAAGGTTCCCGGCGAGCTTCTGAGCGCACTCTGTGCCGTGTTTAATTAGAACGCTCGGGAGGAGAAGAATGGAGCATTATGTTTCCTTTGTGTCGGAGCGGCATTGAAAACTGCGAATGGCACTTTTGTGCAATCATTTTCACATGAATATAGCCTGATTATATTTTTTCAGCGGTTACACTTAACATTTAGCGAGATCGCAGGGCGGCGCAAGACGTTCAGCTCTTTAAATGTCAAGCTGTCTGCGAGAAGGTTTATGGCAAGTGGGCGATGGTTTGTATTGTTTACCTGGCTGAGACCCTCGGCGGTGGCTGACAAGCGGCGTTTATTAGAGCGCCTCTGGAAAGTGTGGTATGTGAGGCCAGCGTGGACAGCCTGGAGGGCAGGCGTCTGCTTGTAAGGGCGAGAATGTCGCCAACGCACCTTGGACCCATCAGGAGAGGAGAAGTAGAACTAAGCAAGGCTACAAGGGAGGGTTTTAATCTGTCAGTTGCGTTTTTCCATCTGTGTCCCATAGTGGAGATTCTTCCTGGCTTCCTCTCCCATAACCAAAAACAGGAAGTGAGAGGAAATCCCTCCACAGGTGAGTGTCCCCATTGGAAGATTTCCCCTCTATTCCTGTTCTGGTGACAACTCAAAATTTGGGAATTTCATTTCAAAGTAAACAGGACACATAGAAAGGGTGAATCTCCCTAACGGGGACACAGACAGCAATGCAAACCTGACCGTTCCAATCCCTCTCTACCCTATCCAAAACAAAGGTATATTTAAAGTGTTACTAAACCCACAATGCCAATTTCAGTCTGTATATGCAGTAAAGCAGGCTTGTTATACTCACTGTGGAACCTAAGGGGTTAATCATCTGCATTGTGTAAAAAGGCTGTTTGATCCTGTCTTCTCTGATCCTGCCCTTCTCCCAGTGTCTCCCTCTTATCTCCTGATAAGACATATGGTATGGAGTCACACTTAACATGCTCAGCTTGGTGTGTATTGCTAGAGAGGTTTTTTTTGTTTCTTAGGAGAGTGCATGTGATCAGCGCAGGGCCAATCAGCACTGTCCAGACAGAGGTCAGGGGTTCTGCATCCTCCTAGAGCAGAAATAAAACTCCTACAAGTTTTAAACAGTGCTCTGCTGCACACTGATAGAAGTCACAAGACTACTCTAACTTCTGATGAGAAAAGGTATTTAGCAGTTTATATTTACTAACATAACTGCATTTCCATGTTCTGTGTACTGTGGGATACCAGATATAGTGAATGCAGGGTCCGGGGAGACCAGATATAGTGAATGCAGGGTCCGGGGAGACCAGATATAGTGAATGCAGGGTCCGGGGAGACCAGATATAGTGAATGCAGGGTCCGGGGAGACCAGATATAGTGAATGCAGAGGCCGGGGAGACCAGATATAGTGAATGCAGGGTCCGGGGAGACCAGATATAGTGAATGCAGGGTCCGGGGAGACCAGATATAGTGAATGCAGGGTCCGGGGAGACCGGATATAGTGAATGCAGGGTCCGGGGGAGACCAGATATAGTGAATGCAGGGTCTGGGGAGACCAGATATAGTGAATGCAGGGTCCAGGGAGACCAGATATAGTGAATGCAGGGACCAGGGAGACCGGATATAATGAATGCTGGGTCCAGGGAGACCAGATATAGTGAATGCAGGGACCAGGGAGACCGGATATAATGAATGCTGGGTCCAGGGAGACCAGATATAGTGAATGTAGGGTCCGGGGGAAACCAGATAAAGTGAATGCGAGTCCGGGAGACCGGATATAGTGAATGCAGGGTCCGGTGAGACCGGATATAGTGAATGCAGGGTCCGGGGAGACTGGATATAGTGAATGCAGGGTCCGGGGAGACCGGATATAGTGAATGCAGGGTCCGGGGAGACCGGATATAGTGAATGCAGGGTCCGGGGAGACCAGATATAGTGAATGCTGGGTCCGGGGAGACCGGATATAGTGAATGCAGGGTCCTGGGAGATCAGATATAGGAGACCGGATATAGTGAATGCAGGGTCCGGAGAGATCAGATATAGTGAATGCAGGGTCCTGGGAGATCAGATATAGTGAATGCAGGGTCCGGAGAGATCAGATATAGTGAATGCAGGGTCCGGAGAGATCAGATATAGTGAATGCAGGGTCCGGGGGACCAGATATAGTGAGACCAGATATAGTGAATGCAGGGTCCGGGGGAGACCAGATATAGTGAATGCAGGGTCCAGGGAGACCAGATATAGTGAATGCAGGGTCCGGGGAGACCAGATATATAGTGAATGCAGGGTCCAGGGAGACCAGATATAGTGAATGCAGGGTCCTGGGGGTTTAGTAACACTGTAAAAGTGATCACATGATATCAAGTGTGAACGTATAACATATTGAAGTCATGAAAGACCCCTTTGTCAGGCATGTGATGATTACAAGCCTGGCGAAGGGGCAATGCACAATTTTGAAAGGTTGCACTTACATTCATACTTGCTTTGGCCTCTGAAGAGCGATCCACATTCAGAACACTCTTCAGAAAGCAGTTGACAGGCAGAGTGGTGGTGTTGTATCACCTCCTCACTGCCTGCCTTAACCGCTTGAACCCTGCACTAGCACACCGAAACTGCGTGCATTGCATGCATTAGCGAGGCACTTGTAGAGTGGATCCGTTCACTTGAAAGTGACAGAGGTACAATTTCTACTGCAGGCATACAGCAAAGCATTGTGGCCATGGCATGTGTACCCTCCTGGCTGCTGGGTCCCAGTGGTTGGGGGGCAAAAACACGACCATGGGGTTTTACCACCCCTCCACAGCTATTGTGAAGAATCCCTTACACTTGATGTCATCAAACTGATCCAAGGTGTGCTGGTGACATATACTTCCCGGAACACCGATTTCCCATTAATCAACTGCTCATTGCTCCAGCACCCCTATACTTCATGGTGTAAAGCGCTAATAAACCCCAAAACAAAACTGTAATATATTCACCAATCCTTAAATCTTCTGGCTGCATTTGTTTTCATTTTTTTTCAACTTTATTTTCGCCTAGTGATCCTGCCAGTAACACATTTCCTGTTTCAAGATGTTCCCGCTCTGGTCTTGGCTCCACCCCCTCTGTAGTGGGCGGGGTCTACTGGACCGATCACACAGTTCTGCTCTCAAGCTATGCACAGCACAGCAATGATGTCACAGCTACATTTACAAGGTAATATCTGGGTTTGCAGAGGTATTTAGTGGACACAAAATGCATTTATATTATTTGAGGCTATTGAGGATTATATTTAGGTGAACATTTTTTGTGAATGGAGTTCAATTTTAAGTATCAATATATCCAGTATTTGGTGTACATGACTCAAACGGCCACTTATAGTCTCCATCAGAAGCCAATGTGATAGGATGACAACACAGGAGTACAATTGGGAGGCAGGGACAGAGTGTTGTCACCCTATAACAGGAAGCGCCTGAGCAAGGTCTTCATTGGAAGCCCATGTGACAGAACATCAACAAAGGAGCACAACTGGGAGGCAGGAACAGAGCGTTGTCGCCCTATAACGGGAAGTGCCTGAACAAGGTCCTTGTAGGCTCCATCAGAGGCTAATGTGACAGAATGACAACAGAGGAGCACAAACGGGAGACAGGGACAGAGCGTTGTCACCCTATAACAGGAAGTGTTTGAAGAAGGACCTTATAGTCTTCATTGAAAGTCCATGTGACAGAACAACAACAGAGGAGCACAACTGGGAGACAGGGATACAGCGTTGTCACCCTATAACAGGAAGTGCCTGAAAAGGACCTTGCAGTCTTTGCCAGAAGCTCATGTGACAGAACGACAACATAGGAGCACAACAGGAAGAAAGGGACAAAGCGTTGTCACCTTATAACAGGAAGTATCTGAACAAGGACCTTGCAGTCTTTGTCAGAAGCCCATGTGACAGAATGAAAACATAGGAGCACAGCTGGAAGACAGGGACAGAGCGTTGTCACCCTATGCCAGGGAAGTGTTTGAACAAGGACCTTGTAGGCTCCATCAGAGGCTAAGAAATGAAAACCCCAAATCATGTATGTTAAATGCAGCTAGTGTAAGGACCTATGTTTGTCTTTATATTACTCGTTGGCTTACCTTTACATAGGCTATCCCCCCTCCAGTCCATCATGAATGCTGGTGCCAGGCTCATCCACCTTACCAACCGTTCAGTGTCTGCCACCCCTCTCTGCCAATCCCTCCACTGGTCTCCATTCAGTGTCTGCTACCCCTCTCTGCCAATCCCTCCACTGGCCACCATTCAGTGCCACCCCTCTCTGCCAATCCCTCCATTCAGTGTCTGCCCGCCCCCCTCTCTGCCAATCCCTCCACTGGCCCATTCAGTGTCTGCCACCCCTCTCTGCCAATCCCTCCCTCCACAGTGTCTGGCCATCCCTCCATTCATTCAGTGTCTGCCACCCCTCTCTGCCAGTCCCAATGGCCTCCATTCAGTGGCCACCCCTCTCTGCCATTCAGCCTCCATGTCAGTGTCTGCCACCCCTCTCTGCCAATCCCTCCACTGGCCTCCATTCAGTGTCTGCCACCCCTCTCTGCCAATCCCTCCACTGGCCTCCATTCAGTGTCTGCCACCCCTCTCTGCCAAGCCCTCCACTGGCCTCCATTCAGTGTCTGCCACCCCTCTCTGCCATCCCTCCACTGGCTCCCCTCTCTGCCAATCCCTCCACTGGCCTCCATTCAGTGTCTGCCGCCCCCTCTCTGCCAATCCCTCCACTGGCCTCCATTCAGTGTCTGCCACCCCTCTCTGCCAATCCCTCCACTGGCCTCCATTCAGTGTCTGCCACCCCTCTGCCAATCCCTCCACTGGCCTCCATTCAGTGTCTGCCACCCCTCTCTGCCAATCCCTCCACTGGCCCCATTCAGTGTCTGCCACCCCTCTCTGCCAATCCCTCCACTGGCCTCCATTCAGTGTCTGCCACCCCTCTCTAATCCCTCCACTGGCTTCCACTGGCCCCAACGAATAAAATTAAAAATACCAACAACAACTTACAAAGCCATCCACAACTCTGCCCCCAGCTACATCACCAACCTGGTCTCAATAAATCCACCAAACCGCTCTCTTCGATCCTCCCAAGACCTTCTGCTCTCTAGTTCCCGTGCTCGTCTCCAGGACTTCTCCCGAGCTTCCCCCATCCTATGGAACTCCCTACCCCAATATGTCCGGCTATCTCCTAATCCATCCACTTTTAGAAGATCCCTGAAAACCTTTCTCTTTAAAGAAGTCTATCCTGTTTCTACCTAGTAAACCGCCTTTTATTTCCTCCATCAGCTCTTCCCCCACAGCTATTACCTTTTGTATCACTCAAGCCTTCCTCCTAGATTGTAAGCTCCCAGGATCAGGGTCCTCTGTTTCCTCTTGTACCAAATTGCATTGTAACTGTAATGTCTACCTTCATTTTGTAAAGTGCTGCGCAAACTGTTGGCACTATATAAATCCTGTATAATAATAATAATAATTAGCTCCCTGTAATCAGGACTGGGGGTGGGAGGTGCAGCACCAGGAGCCAATCAGCTCTGCTACATTGCACATATGCTGATGGGAGGAGGGGCCAGGTAATGACACTGTGCTGCTGCTGTTCTCTCATTGACCACTCATCCGGCTGGGATATGTTTTTGGCCAAGTGATGCTGCTGCTGCAGATGACGATCTGTCTGTGCTGTCTGGCAGGGCTGCTTGGATCACTACTGGCAGGTCATACAGGTCACATACAGTATGTGTATTTCTGGTAGATATTTAGCCGCTTTGGTCTACCTAAATACCTTAGATTGTACACCCCTTGAGGGTTAGGGACTGATGTGAATGTACAATATATATGTAAAGTGCACTGCGTAAAATTGACAGAGCTATATAAGTACCTGAAATAAATAAATAATAATAAAGCCAAAACTCTTTCTGGATAGAGTAGGTAAGAGATAAAGCTCGAATCAGTTTTCATCTTTCTGTGTCCCGTCGGAGTTTTCTCCTCTTCCCGTCTCATAGAGGGGAGATCTCTCTTAGACAAACGTGTCACCACTGGAAGATTTCCCCGCTGTTCTTGTGACAACGCTAATATGGGAGGGTGGATCTCCCTAGTCGGGGCACATAAAAAAAAAAAAACTGATCCGGTTCTCAACCCTTCCCTACTCCGTCCAAGTTGAAAGAAAAGCAGCTTTGGCTTTAGATAAAAGACTGCTGCTGTCAAGTTGGCCATACACTCAGTGGCGTCCCTAGGGGGGTGCGGGGGTGTGGGCCACACTGGGTGACACCATCACAGGGGGTGCAGGAGCAGGATGCCAGCAGAGCTTCTGGGCTCTGTGAAGGTCCTGGCCAGTTATTGGGGTGATCCCGGATTCCCGGCACAGTGACAGCTGCCCCCGGTGTAGCGGTAAAATGAGTATCCCGTGAAGATATGTACCCTCTGAGGCAACTGAGCATGTGCTGGTTTCAGGCCGAAGAAGATCACAATATCGTCTCACTAATGACTGGTACATCATGTATATCTGCTAATACTCTTCCTCAAATCACACTACCTACTAATCCTTGACCCCCTCCCCCCTGTACATCCTCTGATACTGCTCCCTAGGTTATATTTCATATAAATCACTATTACCCCCTGTACATCCACTGATACCTCTCCCCAACTTACATTGCCTTCATCAGTCCACTGCTACCCCTATACATCCACTGCTATCACTGTACATTCACTGCTACCACTGTACATTCACTGATATCCCTGTACATTCACTGATATCCCTGATACATCCACTGCTACCCCTATACATCCACTACTGTACATCCCACTGTACTGTACATTCACTGCTACCACTGTACATTCACTGCTACCACTGTACATTCACTGATATCCCTGAACATCCACTGCTACCCTTATACATCCACTGCTACCACTGTACATCCACTGATGCTCCCTGTACATCCACTGCTACCACTGTACATTCATTGATATCCCTGAACATCCACTGCTACCCGGTACATCCACTGCTGCCATTATGCATCCACTGCTACTCCTGCACATCCACTACTAGCCCTGCACGTCCACTGCTACCCATGTACATCCATTGCTACCCCTGCACATCCATTACTACCCCTGTACATCCACTGCAATTATACCCCTGCTACATCCACTGCTACAATTATACATCCATGCTGCTACCCCATTATGCATCTACTGCTACCCCTGCGCATCCACTGCTATCCCTGCGCATATCCACTGCTACCCCTGTATATCCACTGCTACCCCTGCTGTACATCCACTGCTACATCCACTGTACATACCCCATCCTGCTACCCCTGTCCACATCCACTGCTACCCCTGCACATCCATAGATACCACCTTGTTCATCCAGTCTTCCCCTGCAAATCTACAGATACCCCTGAACATCCACTGATACCCACTGAAATCCACTCACTGTACATGCATTGCTCCCCCTGCCCATGCACTGATACCCCTGTACATCCACAGACAACCCTGCACATCTACTGCTACACCTGTCCATCACTTAATACTTCCTGTCCATTAATTTATATTCCCTACACAGCCACTGATACACCTGTACATCCACTGCTTTTCCTCATGAAATCACACTTTCATCAATACTTAATACCCATCCCTCCCAAAATCACACTGCTGGTGTCAATCACTGATAGCCCTCCCTAAATCCCCCGCTGCTCTAACAAAAAAAAAAACTAATACCCCATACATCTGCTGATGCCCTCTCCTCACACCATTTACTGATCATTGATACTCTGCTACATCCATTGATACCCCTATATATCCATTAATACTCCTGTACATCTACTAATACCCCCTGTGCATCCAGTGATACCCCCCATATGTAAATTTTTACCCTTTTTGAAATCAAAGAACCCTCATCATTTAGTTATATATACCCCCCCCCCCCCCCCCTTCCATCCACTGATACCAACTGTATATATACTGATACCCCTTGTACATCCACTGATACCCTTTGTACATCCACTAATACCCCTCATACATCCACTGACACCCCTGTATATCCTCTGATACACCTCGTACATCCATTGATACCCCTGTACATCCTCTGCTACACCTCATACATCCATTGATACCCCTGTCCATAGATCCTCTGCTACACCTCATACATCCATTGATACCCCTGTACATCCTCTGCTACACTCATACATCCATTGATACCTCATGTGCATCCATAGATAACCCCTCTATATTCACTGATACCCCTCTAAATTCACTGATACCCTTGTGCATTCACTGATACCCCTGTAACTCTACTGATACCCTTGTGCATACCACTGATACCTCTGTAAATCCATTGATATACCTGTACATCCACTGATACGCCTGTAACATCACAGCTATACACCTGTACATTCACTGATACCTCTTTTACATCCACTGATACCCTTCCTACATTTACTGACACCCCTTCTATCCACAGCTACCACTGCTATCCCTGATACATCCACTGCTATCCCTGTACATGCACAGCTATCCCTGTACATCCAATGATACCCCACATAAATGTATTGATACTCCTCCTACATCCACTGCTACCCCTGCACATCCACAGCTACCCCTGTATATCCAGTGATACCCCACATAAATGTATTGATACTCCTCCTACATCCACTGCTACCCCTGTATATCCAGTGATAACCCACATAAATGTATTGATACCCCTCCTACATCCACAGCTACCCCGTACATCCACAGCTACCCCTGTATATCCAGTGATAACCCCACATAAATGTATTGATACCCCTCCTACATCCACAGCTACCCCTGTACATCCACTGATACCCATGAAAGTTTACTGAAACCCTTGTAAATCCACTGATACCCCTCTTACATCAACTGCTACCCTTCTTACATCCACTGCTACCCCTCCAACATCCACTCTCACCCCTTCTACATCCACTGATACCCCTCCTACATCCACTGCTACCCCTGCACATCCACTGCTATCCCTGCACATCCACAGCTACCCCTGCACATCCACACTACCCCTACCCCTGTACATCCACACCCCTGTACCCCTGTATATCCACAGATACCCCTGTACATCCACAGATACCCCTGTACATCCACAGATACCCTGTATATCCAGTGATACCCCACATAAATGTATTGATACCCCCGTATATCCAGTGATACCCCACATAAATGTATTGATACCCCTGTATATCCAGTGATACCCCACATAAATGTATTGATACCCCTCCTACATCCACTGCTACCCCTGTACATCCACAGCTACCCCTGTATATCCAGTGATACCCCACATAAATGTATTGATATCCCATCCACATAAATGTATAAATGTATTATACCCCTCCTACATCCACTGCTACCCCTGTACATCCCCAGCTACCACCCGATAACTCTACTAACACCACTATACATGTAACTTTACTGAAATCCTTGTAAATCCACTGATACCCCTCCTACATCCACTGCTACCCTTTCTACATCTGTTGGCATCTCTCTTGCAATTACACTGTTCTTACCAAACATTGATAAATTATCTTCACTAAACTCTAATATCCCCTCTGATACAAATCCCCCGTACCAAAAATCTGAGAAA